AATTTAACTTCTAATTTAATAAAAGGACTTAAGTAAAAATTTCATTAACATACAACATTTATAACTAAATGTAAATAGATAATATAATCAGAAAATAATTTGCATTAAGCTGGCTTTCAGGACTGTATGAATAGTCATCATTTCTTAAAAGATACATGAAAGTTGAGATCAGAGTTCCAGCACAATTTTTCACTACTTTCTAAGACCATAACATAGTTCACGTTTTTCTCCTCTGTACATTTTCTCATTCTTCTCACTCTTAACCTAGCACATATTACACCTCTATTTCAGTGCCTTCTAAAGTTTATTGAATGACATGTTAAGTTCCTCATACTTAGGACTTTTCAATCCTAAAGTTAATATGAAATGAGATTCTCCAAAAAAAAAAAAATGGCAAGCAACGTGATGAGCACAATATGGACATAGTATTTTCCTGGAGAGCTGACCGATTTTATGCTGTGCTGTAATGTTAAAGATTAAATGAAACTCTGGCCTGCTCTGTTCCATGGTCACAGACTGTACTATTTTCCAGCTACTGTCTTTACAAATGCATGCAGAAAGTCACAAGGAAGATTTCAGGAAGTAATTCATGGCATTTCTCACAACAGATAAAACAACAGCCGAATACTATGTCTGCATTTGGAAAGTTTCATCAACATTATGCTGCTTATATTTTGAGTAAAATATTAATACAAGTTTATAACGCTTTTAATGTTATAATCCTGAAACTGTTCATCATGTTATATTCCAAACCTCATACATAAGAACATACAGATGTAGAATTCCTTTTAAAGTGTTTCATTCCAGTTTTTCTTCACTTTGGTAAAAACAAATTTGTGAATATTTGTGAATACTGTCCTCAGCAGGACAGTATTTAATTGCAGAAATTCCTACACTATCTTACAGATTATTTAATACAGAATATAAAATACAAACAGTAAAACCTTTTTATAGTCATCACCACACGGGGAGAGAAGGGAGAAAGTCAGAAAAATATACAAAGCATTGAAAGGCTGCATGTGTGGAGGGTGCCAGGAGGGGGAGGGTTTCATGAGGTTCTAGGCAAACCCTTTGAAAACGTCACCTCACATACATAATGTTACAGCAGTCAGCACAGGCCTCCTGCGTTCCTATTGGTGAGCACCGTGTCAGCAGACATCAGAAGATAATCATCATTGGCCAGACAATTACAACTGGAGCAACTAGCATCCACTGCTGTTAGCACAAACCTGGCAGGCTACTGAAAGAGAAGGCAGAGCCCAGCTTCCCTTCTCACTCAATGAATTTCATGTTGCATTCCCAATCAGTAGGTGATCTTGCTACTTTGCTAGCAGACTTCTAAATTAAGTCAGCTATTAGTGAGAAGAACAGGTGAAAGCCAGACATCTCATAAAAGAACAAAATGTCTCTATTTTCAAAGCTGTAAAATCACAAGGACTTTTCAGTGTAAAACTGGAACTCAGAAACACTATTTGGAGCTAAAAGCAGGCACGTTCCTCTACCCCATGCACTAACTCTTATTTACCAGATAATATTACCCAGGCAGGATATTTTTAACTGGACATGTATTTTCAAGATGGGGCTCAGGATGATTCTCTAAGGGAATATATCTATTACTTTGCCTTTTCAATTGCTATTCTAATCTATTATATATGAAACTATTTGCTAGAAAAGTAAAAAGTCTACAGTATTTCATGTCTATGCCAATGAGTATCGGGTTAATCATTCATTAAAGCAGCAATAAACTTGATAAACTAGCCTCAGTTGAACCCTTTAGTGTTTATACAAACACCACTCCAAAATGAGCTCCCATTCCACTAATACATGCTATGGAAATATAATACATGTGTAATAAACTATTCTTACTTTAGGTCCTCTTAAATGATGCTAGTTGGCACAAATGCATACTGGCAAAACACCACTCCAGACTCCCCACAATTCTTCAAAAGTCAGTGTGGCTCAGTTTTGCAAGATAAGTTTTAGTTCTCTAAATTAACAAGTTTTGTTTGATACTAAGAGATTTTCAAGGTCAATTACCAATAAACTCTCAAAAGTCAGAAGAGAAGCTTCATTATTTTGTGTTTTTTCTCTAGAAGCGATTTCAAACATTTTAATTTAGTAAGTCTGGAAAAGCTAAGATTTTGTGGTTTCCTTAACTTCCCCTTTCCTCAAGAGGGTCTAAGCCTCGGTTATGTAGCACCCTTCTCCTGTTAACATTAAGGGGAATGAAAGGAAAATCTGGTTCAAGATTTTTGGGCTGTAGGTTTTTTTGGAGGGGAGGCAGGGAAGTTAAAAAATTGGGCCCCTAGAATATTGAGGAAAATGCAAAATGCAGAAGTCTGGGATAAAATAAGAAAGCAAGATGATTAGAATCAGGAAGAGTTGCAAGGAAGGGATAAGGGCCAGCAGGGTTCTTTGACTGCAATATGCAATCCAAGAAGAACATAAAGTCAACAGAGAGCAGAAGCCAGGAAGGGAAAAATCCCAAGATGTAACTGACACGGTCTCCAAAACGTAGGCAGAGGCCAAGCATGTTCAACCACAGGTATAAATAAATAGTGCTGGTAATTAAAATGGACCCAATTAGTATTTAAACTCTGGGTCTTCTCAAGCATTTGCCCTGTCCAAAGCTCTCTGCTAGGGGCTTTTCAGAATCAAAACTGGAAAACGACAAGAACAGTGCCCTCAAGAGCTGACAGTCTATATGTAAATATCCAGGTATATAAATAAAAGCCAGGAAAAGATATTGCCAGAAGAAAGGTACAGATAAAGAGCAAGGAGGAAGCAGTGGTCACAGCCCAACAGGAGAAGATAAATCGGCGCATTTTTGTCATTTTCAGTCCCAGGAGGGCACTTCTTCCCCCGGGACTGAAAACGACAGTCCCTGTCTGGCTCAGTGAGTACTAATTGAGTGAATGGAGACAGGAGGCGGGAAACGGTACCTGGAGCACGCACAGGAAGTGGCCTCAGAGAAGAGGCAACAAGTAAATAACAGGCAGTATCGACCGCGGTGTGCTAGGCAGGGCGGGCAGACAGTGAATGGGGTCAGCCGGCAGAAAGCCGGCTCTGGAAAGGCAGGTTCAACCACATGCTGCAAGTTGCAGACACGGCAGACGTTAGCAAAAGCCGCGCGCACGGGCTAAAGGGGGAGGAAGGTGGGCCCGAGGGGAGTGAAACAGCTGCCCGGGAGGCCCGGCCCCAGGCCAGCCAGCTGCGCGGCTCGCGGCGCCCGCCGGCTCGGTCACCGCCCCCTTCCCGCCTTCAGCGCCACCCCCTCCGCGGGAGGAGGAAGTGCATCTGGAGAAGGACCCCAGGCGGCCGGGCCCGAGGGGGCTCGGCTTCCCCGAAGCGCTGTGGCCTCCGATCGACTCCTCAACCGCGGGTTCAGGACCCACGCCCGAGCTCGTGGCCTGGGCGGCCGCTGGGAGAGCCAGCCTGCGCCCGTGTCCCTGCCGCACGTGCCGTCCCTCCACGCGGCCCGCGGCCCCCCCCCCCTGCCTTAGCCTCCGGCTCGGGCCGGACGCAGCCCCAGGGTCCCTCGCCACCAGCCACGCCGCAGCTCGCCGGGGGCAGGCCGGGCC